TCACCAGTGGTGCTGAAGTTGAAGACTACATTTCATTTCTGTGTTAACTTTTAATCACAATGTTATCATGGTTAGTCAACTTTAATAGGTCACTGAGGTCTAAAAGACAATCTGGAGACCATTATCATCATTACCAGCTTGTTGCTATTAGAAATGTAAATTCTGAAGGCCATACATGTGCTGCCTAGCCAGAGTCTCTGATGCTCTGTCGGGACTCAACAAGCTCAACTTCATGCTTCAACAAGCTCTCTGCATGAATTTGAAGCCCATTAAAAGTTTAAAAGCATTGCCTTCAACTATGATAGGTCCTCTGCCAAGACACAAGCACAAAATAAGTAAAGTTCTTTTCTTTAATCCATTCTTCAGACTGTTTTATTTGAAGGAAAAAGTAAAAACTTAGGTCTCTCTGCTCAAATGACACTGCTCAAGTGGGGACAGAGAGGAGGAGCCAGAGAAGCAGAACATTTATTTACAATATGACAATGTGCAGGAAACTAATACAAACACATTGCAATGCTGAAGGCATGCTTTGCATTACTAGCACTACTGCTGCCCTCCTTTGGCATGGAGAACTAGAGATAAATATCACAGTTGCCCCATCTCTGGCCTCACTGGCTCCCTGGCTACTCATGCTTCCATTTACATTTCGTGTTCCTGAGCACAGTCAACCAGCAGGCTTCACTCAGCATGACAGACAAAGCAACTGTGATCACAAGACGAAAACTATTTGTGGATTAAGATGTATGCCTTTTGGAAATGATAGATTCCAATTTAGCAATTAGTGACTCAAGAACAATTGACATTAGTAGGGTGGTCCCCAGGCAGCCAAAAACTTAAGTCTAGACAGTCCATAGGTAAGGTTTGATTTCAGTATTAATGACCAGGAAAAATTGGGGAAAAATCAATTTGAACCAATGTTTCACATTGTAATAGAAAGCAAAGTCAGTGAAGTTATTACCATCCCACCATTTACCCATCAGGCCCTGAGGGTGTGTGATGAGACTGAGATAAATGAAATCATTATTTGGTGAGCTTGACCAATTTAAAAATTGGGACACTTAATTATCTCCCCTGGAGTGATTCTATTTTCTAGCCAGTCGCATTCTTAAGTTTTGGTCTCTATAGTTCTTCTTCCTTATGAAAACAAATGAAACATCTTATTGGGGGGGTCAATGATGCTGTTTTAATATTGTCTTACTCCATTTACTCACAAAGAAAAATCCTAATCTCTATGGGAATTTTTTATGTTTCATAGACAATGTACTAGAGTTTGATTAAATCTAAATGATTAAGTTTCATTAGTTATATGTATATATACATCTCTATATATAGATATACATATATGTTTTTGACACCACAGGTTTTCTGGGCAAGGTTGATTCATTTGTTTTTTAATTCAAATTTAGTGAAGCATAAAAATAAATACTAATTCTTCCTGACCTCCCTCGCAAAGAAAATCAAGAATGTAAATATTAAAAATAACACTGGGAAAATACTGTTATTTAAATGAAATACTTATTGAAGTTTTGTTACTGTCAAAAAGAAAAATGCCTTAGTAAATGTTAAAGTGATATGTATGCTTTCCCAATATGTTTTGTCAGTGTAGGTATATGAAGCACTATCTTGTTGGAACTATGGCCACTATTCACAGAAGAAATAATGGTGACCATAATATGGAAATCAAGCAGGTTTAGTGTGGTTCTAAGACTTAGAATTTAGTGTATGTCAGTTTGACTGTACAAAACTGTAAAATAACTACTGATAAGGACCACTTCTTAATTAAATGGCTACATATAAAGTGTTAGTTGTTAGACAGAGCAAATAATGTGATAACATCCTATCCTCAACAGAGACACAAATTTATAAAATTAATAGTTGGGTACACCTTTTAGTGTATAATACAAATTATTCAAGATATCATTTTAAATTATAGTAAAACAAAACTTGATACAGCTACAATTGCAAATGAGAACATTTTTATGTCACTGTAAAAGAACTAATCTTAAAAATTACTTAGGAGACTCAAGAAGTAGGTTTCACGAGGGAACTGTATGTTGCTATTGTTTTCCAATCACCTTACTGAAGAGAGAGAAAAGAAATGCTAATACCAAAAAATACATCACATGAAAGTGGTTTTAGTTTTATGTGATAATCTGTTGACCTATCTTAAATCATGAAACCTAACAAAACCACGTAACAAGTAAAATACACACTCTTTCTGTAAACAGATCTGTAAAATGTTTTTCAAACAGCAGGTGGCAATCTTTGTAAATCTGATTGCAGCTGTTCAGTAATACCTATGCAGATGAAATGCAGTTGTGGACCGTTAACAAGCTTCCTATGCTCAAACTGGTTCAGATACCTTCAAATATTAAGAGGGTCTTGCTTAATCGTGCTTTACCTTTCTAATGAAATTTCTCCTTTGGCAAAACAAATGTTTTTGTTTAAAGCTTGCTAATTCTCACACAGAGTAGGGATTTCATAGTTAATCTGCTGAGGCATCCTTCGAAGCAGAGTTCTGCATGCTATTTGTCTCTTATCATTCTGAATTCACATGGCCTGAAGAATTAGTAAAATTACTTTTAGATCTCATGCCAAAAGAAAACCTGCTGACAAACTGAAAAACATGAAATTCAGCTTCTGGGTAAAAGGTACTTGCTGTCTTGCCTGATGACCTCCCCATATCCACAAGCAGAAAGGAGGAAACTGAAGTCTCCTGATCTCTACATGTGAGCACTTGAGTAGTGTCAAGCCTTCTCACTCTTCACACTCACCCCAATGATATAAGTAAATGTAATGAGAATAAAAAAGACTGGTTTCTGATATGACTATTAGTATTGAACTGAGAAAATTATTTTAGCATTTTAATTATGAAGAAACACAATGTTTTGACTAAATGGTGACTCTTAGAATAATTTTATTTTTAAACTAAGGGGGCATTTTAGAAATAAACCAATAGCTTCTACACTGCAAAGAAACACCAAAAACCTGTCTTGTTGCTGTAACAAAATGCACTGGCAAAGGTAATTTAAGGAATAGAGGATTTTCAGCTCATAGTTTAGTATGGTCCATTACAGAGGGGAAGTCAAGGCAGCAGGAGCCAGAAGTAGCTGTCAGATTACATCCACAATCAAGAAGCATGGGAGTAAGGGTAGGGATGAGGGCTGTGCTCAGTGTCCTTTCTTCTTTTTTTTTTTTTTTTATTGAATCAGGCAGACAAAGTGGATCACCCTCCCCTAAATAATTTACTCTAGAAATTTTTTCACAGACATGACTAGAGATTTGTCTCGGAGTTGATTCTACCTCCTGTCTAGCAGCCAAATCCCAGTCATCACGAGCCTGCCATTTGTCATCTAGACATAGAACACACCACTTTTAATACATGACCTCCACCTTCTGCTGCCATAGGCTAATGACCATCTCATAATACAAGCCACATTCATTCCAACTTCAAAGGACTCATAGCTTTAAACAGTCCTAATACTGTTCAAAATTACAAACTCCAAGTGTCTTTGGAGACTCAAGGCCACACATAATGGTGAGCTCCTGTAAAATAACGAAATGCGCACTTTCAAAACAAACTAGCAAAGAGAAATATTCACACTACAAAATGGTGAATGGAAGGATAGTAAGGAATGATCGGGCAAACCAAGATGGAAGCCCACAAGTAGACATAATAAATCCTGCAGCTCCATGGCTGCCATCTGGGGCTTCAGATGGAATCATGGGAGCTCCAAAGGGCTTAAAGTAACCTAGCCTCTCCAGCCCTCCTGCCTATAGCAATCCCAGCCCCTCTCCTGGGCTGTTCCTGTTTGATGTCTACAGCCTTCTTGGCCAGATGTCCTATGGATCTGGCATCTCTGACCACCAGAGGGCTCCACGACAACATAGGCTTTACTTTCACAGCTTCAAGAAGTGGCCTCTCAGGACCCCTTTGGAGGTAATCCGATTGACACACTGCCTGGGTTTGTCAGCTCTCTGGAATCGTGGCACAAACCTCTTACTGCTCCAATCTTGTATCATTAACATTTTTTTTTCAAGCAGTACAGAGTGATATTGCCAAGTTTGGATTGTCACCTCAGGACAGAGACTGAGTTCCTTGGCACAACCCTCAACTTTTGTGACATGACTCCAATGCCAATTTCCCAATTCAGTTGCTCTCAGAGCAGGAATCCTTTCAATAACATTCTTAGTTTAGGCTCTGCCATTCAAATGAAACTGTATTTTCACTTGAAGAAAATGTGGATGGGTAATAGAGTCTTTCATTCTGGGTAGCTATGCCGTTGTTCCAGTAGAGAATGTCAAGTCACACTTCAGGGTCAATAATCTCATCAACAATGACAGAACTTTTTGCTGTTGTCTACATTGTCCTCATTAGAAGTTTTAAACTTGTCTATACACTTTTTTATCATCAAAGAACATGGTTCTGAATGTCACTCTGCTTCACTCAAGTTTCGTCATCATCATCATATTACTGTGTATGTATGTCTGTGTACGCTTCTGTGTGGCTATGTGTGTGTGCACAAGTTTCTATGATGTGTATACTCAAATGCAGTAGTATGCGTGCCACGGTGTGAGAAGTAGGATCTCTCCTTCCAGTGTAAGTCGTGTGGATAGATTTCAATACCTTCCATTTCATTCACTTAACACTAAAGCAAAGTATTAAGATTTAAGAACATTTTTGTGTTTTCAATATCAAATTTCATAAAATAGTAGAAAAATGCACTGCAATGATAGAAACCATACCCAACCTAATCGTTCTCCTTTGTGGCTACTTTTTGACTATCATGTATTACAATGCCACGTTACAACAAATAAAAATTAAAACTTATAGGACTATTCTGACATATCAAGAGAAGTTGTCATATATCATGTTTAAAACAAGTATACTTCCAGTTATTTGTATCAGTATTTTAATCAAGGAAGTACTATTCTTAACAGCACACACACACACACACACACACACACACACACACACACACACACACAGTCCCTCTTACCTGGGCACCGCTGCTCACTGCACCTTCTCACTTCTTCCCCTGTTCCTTCACACTGCTGTCCTGTGAAAGCTGCACCCTGACAAGTCCTCACTCTCCTTTCCCAGCCTCCATCACAGGACTTGGAACATCCACTCCAGTGACCCCAGTGATTCCACTGACCATTGGCTGAAAGAAATGGGTCTCGCTTAACAGCAGTCGCAGCATCCACTGCTTTAATAAATGTGCAAATCTGGGGATAGTAAGATCCCTTCAGTTTTTATTAATCTACTGTCAAGAAGGAACTTTGTCCAAATATTTGACTTACTGGTCAAACACTGTGCATTTTCTGCTTAGAAGAATTACATAAGTGTGTCTGACTCTTCAGATGCACAGGGAGCCTGCTTTCAACAACTGTAAGCATAGTGCTAAACTTTATTAACTTAGTTGTTAATCCATCTCAGAATCATCAGACTTTTCTGACTTTATTACTGCAGTGTAATGGACTAATATAATTGGTTTTGTACATCTGAATATATAAGTAGCTTTCATTTTATGACTGGCGTGTCACTGTGATGTTTTAAGAATCGTAGGTGTCATTTGCACAAAGCACTTGGCCTTACCTGTACATTCAGGGTTGTAGCACTCTCTGCTTTCTGCCCATGGTCCTCTGCACTCAGAGCCTCCATGAGCAGCTGCTGTGCACTGCCGGCTCCTCTGCTGTGTCCCATTGGAACATGTCACCGAGCAGTGGCTCCATGAACTCCATTCCTGCCACTGTCCATCAACTACCAAAGCAGAAAGAGAGACAGCATAAGATGATCCAGCAGGGAAGGCTATGCAGTGAGCACAAGGGAACACCAAACTGAGGGAGGAATCTCAGTCAAGTCTCTGAATGTTTGTCATTGAAGACTACACTGCATAGACTCTAATGCTACTCCCCAAAACATTATCAGCTGTTTCTCTTTCATTTTTTTATCATTTTTATTTGAATTAGAAAAAGATTGTTTTACATGACAATCCCATTTCCCTTCTCCCGCCCAACTAAAACCCTACCTATCACATACCCTTTCTTCTATTCTTCCCCTGACTCAACCTTTCTGCTCCCTCATGACTTCTGCATCCTTCCTCTTCTTCCCTTCTCATTCTCATAGCTCCCTCCCCGCCTCATCCCTTGCTCTCAATTTTCACAGGGGATCTTGACACTTTCACCTTCTCCAGGGAACCATGTATGTCTCTCTTAGGGTCCTCCGTGTTTACTAAACATATCTAATCACTCATATGTGGGTTTTAGACATAGAGTAAAGGATTACCAGCCTACAATTCTCTTTCACTTTATGTATTGTCATTGTGATGGTTAATTGCTTTTATCAATTTGATGTGATTTTTGAATCATCATGGCAACAAATACCTGAATATGTCTGTGAGGGATTGTCTCGATTTGGTTAATGAAGCAGAGAAGACCCACCCTTCACGTGGTTAGCACCAATCTATTGACAGGGGTTCTGGACTGAGTAAAAAGGAGAAGGGGAACTGAGAAATGTATCCATTTCTATGTTTCCTGAATGGATACACTGAGATGTGACCAGCTCCCCTTTCTGTCACTACTCCTTCCCTGGTCTGATGGTTTTATCCCTTGGGATTGTAAACTCTGATCTCCTTAAGTTGATTTTTTTTCAGGTATTGTGTCATAGAAATAAGACCAGTAACTAGTATCCTCATCCATGTTATGTTTACTCATTAAAAATTTAAGACCTTGAGGTAGAATATATAACCAGGATAATGTGACTGAGGGGAAAACGGATTAACACAACACACAGCTCATATTTTGGAAAAAGCAGCTCCTAAAACTAAACAATGACACGCAAAGTAAATAAAAAGCTATATAGTGTGGTTGCACAGGATAATTTCAGGATCCTGTGAGATATAGGTCATGAGGGACCGGGGCATCTTCCTTGGCAAACTGATTCTCTAAATAATCAGTGAGGATAATGACAAAATGAATAGGATAAGAGTGTCTACAAAAGGACATGCAAAAGTCCTTTAGAGATAAAAATGGGCATTTCCTAGAGCAACATACAAGGCACCATGAAGGGAATCTGGATATTTGAGTGAAGCAAGGCAGAAGAGATTGGTCAAAAGGCCGCAGTCAGGTTTTGCAGCTGGGTTAAAATTTTGGGGGCACTCTTTTCAGGCAACTAAGGAAGCTTTGAAGTATCTAAATGGAGAAGATGCTGGTCAGAGCTACTGCAGGCTTTGGAAAATATCTGAGAAAAAAGACAGGGGAGGGTCTAAGCCTGGATGACAGAGAATTGGAAAGACCAGGAGGCTACCAAGAGGTGATGCTCAGAGAAACAAAGGGCAGAATCTGGAAGCTAAACAAAGGAAACAAGGGAACTCCAAGGAATCCTGTGTCTGATGGCTGGAATGCGGATCACTGCATTTGACTCATAGAGTTTCATTCACCTGCTCACTCACTCAAATGATTTTGAGAACCAGCTATCTGATATTCGATGGGCGATGATGGGAGAAATGAAAAGTCTAAGTTCCAACCTCAGGGTATCTTAAAAATTATTACATTATGCATGTAGACAAGTCAAAAGCAACCATATTCTTCCCATGGCACATGAGGTTTGCAGGGTTTCACAGGATCTTATCTGTATAAAGGATAATTCTAGGACAGTGGGATTTGACTGATTTACACAAAGGAGACAGAACTGACAAATGCTACAAAACACAGCAGATATTAAACCCAAAACACCTTATTAAAATGTACAAATTAGCATATGAAAATTATAAACGCACTCATAGATAGAGATCTACTTTTTCCAATACTACTAGCTGAAATGGAACTTACCATCAGTCATAAGTTCTACCAGAAGCTAATATTGCTGTGAAAATCCTTCCAGGCAAACCAGTGTCTGACAGAGTGAGTAGGTAATTTCAAGCCTCATGTGTAGCTATTAGATAGGGTTGTTGAATAGATATCTTGCTGTACTTAATAAACCCCGTGTGAGATTAAAAACCACAAAATGCCAATTTAATCATTCCATTCATGTAATTTTAGTGTCTCATTTTATTAAAAGTACCTGATACAATCTTATCTGACCATGTAGTACACTTGCCAGACAAAACGAAAGTTCTAGTAAATCAATAGGACATTATAAATTATCAATGTATCCTCTGCTTTTGGCTTTCAGGCTGAATGCACATTCATTGCAGATTTTGTTTTTAAAAGAAAACTCAGCCAGAGTATCCATTATGAAACTATGCTATTCCAAGCAACTTTAGAATGCCTTGAAAAATCAAGATTCATGACATGTACCTTACATTCTATTTGATAAAGGAGTATACAGCTTCACACTTAAGTGTTTTTTGTTTTTTGTTTTTTGTTTTTTTTTTTTTTTTTTTTGGTTTTTCAAGACAAGGTTTCTCTGTGTAAGCTTGGCTATCTTTTGGAACTCACTCTGTAGACCAGGCTGGATGGACTCGAAGTCACAGAGATCCATCCATCTGCCTCTGCCACCAGACCACAGCCCAATTTTTTTTTCAAGACAAGGTTTCTCTGTAGTTTTGTAGCATGTCCTTGAATTTCCTCTATAGACCAGGCTTACTTGTAATGCACAGAGGTCTGCCTGTCTCTGCCTCCCCAGTGCTGGGGTTAAAGGTGTGGGCCAACACTGCTCTGCCACATCTAACTTTCAATATCCAGAAAGCAAAATTAGTGGAGATAAAGTAGATGATGTCAATTGAATTAAGCTAACAGAGGACTGGGTTGTTTGGCATCATTAGAGGTTCTGATTTGAGATAGAGTTAACCATATTTCATCCTGACTGTTGTGGTTACATTCTCCTTACCAAACAGCAACAGCAACAAAAACAAAAACAAAACAAAGCAAAGCAAAGCAAAGCAAAGCAAAATATAAAACAAAACACAATGGAACACACACAACCCTAAAACATTCAGCTAAGAAGACATGGAAATAAGAATAAGCTAGTCAAATTTGGACATGAGAGAGAAGATAATCTAACTGAGATTTTGTTTCTATATAAAATAATTTTTTTTTAAAAAAAGATCTTGCTGGTAAAGGATTAGGGGAAGGAGAGAATCTGTTTTTAAAACTTTGACTTATTTGGTTTTTCCCCATAGAAGATGTCTTCTTACCAGCAGTTAGGAATTAAACATTTCAATTTCATGCATTCATAATGTGAGTTGTTCAATACTTTCTAATGTACATATTTTGGGGTTTATGTAATATTCAAGGATGAGTTAATATTAGAAACTTGAGGGACATTTTGAGGTTGAACACTGTCAAAACATCCATAAAACACAAATTTGAGGTCTGACTAGTTGAGTTTACAAAATCAACTACAACAAAAAATAATGAAATTGAAGATATATCAATCACCTGGACTTTTATTTCTGTTTTATTTTACACTATTAGTTAGAAGGTCATTTTATTGAATAATTTCAGCTGTTCTGAAATAATTGACTTGATAAAATAACTTGCTACATATTAAGAAGAAAGGAATTTTAGTACAAAATTTCAATGTGCATTGTGTGTGTGTGTGTTGGCCACATTACCACACAAGCAGAAAAGTGAGTGAGAAAAGATTCACATGTCACAGATACACATGAATTTCTTTAGTGCCAGAGCAAGATCTCACCATATTATAATGTTTTCTGCTATCTGTTTTTAGTTTCATATAATGTCGTGGTATTTAAAAATATTAACTACTATCTTCTAAGGATCTCTGCACCTATACATTTCAGGAGCTGGTAGTCTCATTTTATTGAAAGGGAAACAATGGATCACGGGTTTCTGAGAAGCAAAAATTAAACTCTCTTTTGGACTTTTAAGCATCCCTAGTAGAGAATGTACATTATCTTTCAGGGGTAAATGCTGGGATATTTAAATCTCAAAGCCATTTATTAAGATCCAGGCTTCCAGTGACTGAAAAACAACATTCTTTTTGGAACAAGAGAAAAGAAGTGGATAACTCTGTAATCTGAAGTTTAGCTGGAGAGACAAGTGGTAAAAAGATTGATTCCCTTCCAACACCCATCGTGAGCTTGTACTTGACCTTCTCTTGAAGAAGGCAGCTGACAAGCAGTGTGTCCTCTTCCCTAGAATCATTTCAATGAATTCTGTGAGCTTCTCACAGGGATGAGATGAATCTCGCAGAGTCATTGCAACCTGAGAAATTTGAATAGATCTCAATGATTTGTTCTGTTATGAAACTATTTCTGCTGAACTCTGATTCATATCTTGGTATTCTGTCATGAAAATTGACACCTGGCAAGTTAGTAAAATGGAAACTCCAAAACCTCAGAGGAAGTTCATATTCCACTATTAACTAAGGGGTTTCAGAAAATGTATGAGGTCACTGACGTTGCTCTTCAGGGTCATGGGAGGACTGTGTTGACTAAGATTGATCAAGCCTTGCTCTCATGATCAATTATCAAGCCCTGCTCTCATGATCGTATCTACTTGGCTATGAAAAAGTATACATATATGGATAGGGAGACTTTCATCTTGAAGTTATGAAAACAAACTGATAAGCTGAACACAATATGGGGAATCCTCTGTCAATTCTTCTGGGAGATAGTAATGGCAGATTCCCATCACTTAAAGGAGGCAGCTTATAAAGTCTATTATAACTCTATGTAAATGAAAACTATTGTGACCAGGAAAATTTGTATCAGAAAAGAAGAGAAGAACTTAGGGCATATGGGGGCTCATGAGACCAGAAAGTATAGAAGATAGATTCACCCAATAGATGGGAGC